CACTGGGAGAGCTCACAGGGAATTCCAAGGAAAAGGGAGAGGGTCTGTGCAGCCCGGCAGGAGCCGGAGCCTTTGGGAAAAGCCAAGGAGGAGCAGGAGGAAGGAGGGAGAAAGTTCCTTTAAAACCGACTGATTTTGTTGGGAATCAGATGGTTCCGGGGCTCGACAGCTCCCGGAGCTCTGCCCGGCTCCGATCCCGAATTCCCAGCTCTCCCCTTCCCGGCGCAATCCCATCCCACAGCCGGCGAGGGAGCGGCCCTGCCCGGAACACGGGGGGGTTTCCAGAAACCCCTTGGATGGTGCAGAAGGAAAATGGAAGCGTCTGGAGTCGGGAAAAGGCGATGCCGGAGCCAGGACAGGAATTCCCGGGAAGAGCAGGACACCGGGGCGGCTTCCCGGCCACCCCCGGGAATTCCGGCGGCCTCGTCAAATCCGTGTTTTGGGAGGGGAGAAAAAGCATCCAGTGCCAAGTGCAGCCACATTCCCATGGGAATGGGGTGGCTGATGCCAGGGAGCTTCACCTGCCTCCGGCTCCAACTTTATCCGGAGGCAGGAGCCACGGGATTATCCCGGTTTTCCGAGCCACGGGATTATCCCGGTTTTCCTCCCCAGGGAGACCCCGGGGTGTGGAGGGGCCACCCCGAGGCTGTAAATCCCAAACTGGGGGATAATTCAGGGGTAATTCCCTCTCAGACACTTCCGTTTTCCCGGAGCGGCGGGATCAGGATCCCCCCGGCTCCGAGGGGATCCCTGGATCCCGGACAGGGAATTGCATCCCAGGAGTGAGCATGCTGAGGGAGAGCTCCAGGAATAACCTCACGTTGGGAACCAAGGAATTCTGGCCTTGGCAAGGCAGGACTCAAGCTCAAATCCCACAAAAAAACCCGGGAATTTGGGGGACATAACGCACTTCCAGCCCTTCCCCCCTGTGCATTCCCAAAGGAACTCCCTTCCCAAGGGAATCTCATCCCACCACAGCAGCTCTGGGCTAAGAAATCATAAAGATTTTGGCTTCCCAAGGGCCGGGAAAAGCAGGTGGGAGCTGAATCCCAGGATCCAGCTCTCCCTGTCCCAGGTCCCAGCTTCGGGATGGCCCCGAATCCCTTTTTTTTTTTTCCGGCTGTTGGGAAGAGCCAGGAGCGGGCACGGAGGGGACGGAGCCAATTCCCACCTCCCGGATCCCTCTGGGAATGCCCCTGGGAATGCCACCCCCCTGCTCCCGGCAGCGTGCTCCATCCTGGGAAGCGGGAATGTCGGGAATGTCGGGAATGCTGCTTCCGGCACTAATCCCGCTCCACGGTACTTACCAGGATCTCCCCCTTGGGGTGGGCAAAATTAAGGGATAAAAAACAAAACAAAACAAAAAGCAGGATGAGGAGACAGGACAGGGGAGGGAAAGGAAGTGACGGGAGAGAGCGGGAAGCACAAAAAAAAAACGGGAAGGGGGGAAAAAGCAGAAAAACAGCAGAAGAAAACCCGTTACATGCAATTAATGACTATTAATGACTATTAATGACGGTCATTCCCAGCGTTAATCATCCCTCGGAGCCGCTTTTCCGGAGGGAGCAA